GCAATTTGTAATAATTCCATCGCACTTTGTAATAACTTTTTGAGAGTAATTAAACTTACTTCGTCAACATTAATATAACGCCAAAATATGCATGGTACTTCATAAACAAAGATGATGACGTCTGCTAGCACGTAACAACTCCGCTCATTCAAACACTTAACTTTATTCACAGTTCTAAACATTTTTTTTAGATTAATGTTGATTAGTTATCTGATTTACGAAATGCTGTATTCTTAAACCTTGCTATTGTACTAGGTGGCTTGCATTCAATGGTTACCCGGCGGGAATACTTCCTTATATGGCCAATACGGGGATGCGCCTCTGGACAGAGCATTGCCAGAGTACAGGATCTAGACAGAGCTAGACACACTAGACACAAACGAGCCATCTTTAAAACGCATTTAATTTCCGCAAATCGTAACATCCATCCTACATCATTCGAATAAGGACACCACACCGTAATTTTTAGGGAGTTATTATAACTCCAAAAATGGAGTAAAAATTTTAGGTACAGGATAACCCTTTTTTTGGGGTTATTTTAACTCCTCATTTAACTCCGAATTTGGGGTCATTTTTACTCCTGAAAAAGAGTTCTTTTTACTCCCAGACTGGAGTTAAAATTACTCCGAAATGGGGTTACTTGTACTGCTTACATGGGTTGTTTTTACTCTTTTTGGAGTTAATTTAACTCTGAAAGTGGAGTAAAAATTTTAGGTACAGGATAACTACTTCTTTGGGGTTATTTTAACTCCTCAATATCTGGGGTCACTTTTACTCCTGAAAAAGAGTTCTTTAAACTCCTTTTTGGAGTTAATATAACTCCACGAAAAATAACTCCAATGTAAGGAGTTAAATTAGCCCCACTAGAGGAGTTATTATAACTCCCTGAAAATTACAGTGCAGGAGAGTTCAAGCTTTCCTCGTTTGATCTTATACCAGGTCGACACAACACCTGGTGCACCGTCCTTGTCTAACGCGCAATCTTAAAGAAGTAATAGTGGCTTCCATATGCATATTTTGGCCTACTTAATCAAACGAGGCCTGGAAAGATTCAAAATGTTTAGTGCGAATAAAAAAAAGCACCTCACCAGTCGCAAACCGTCGAACCACAACAGAAACCTAAACACAAAATCCAGTTAGTCGCTGGCCAATACCTTCGTATGTACCTGTTTTTATAACACTCACTTGGGGTCTTACACTGAGCCGGCTGGCCATTTGGTCCATTATTCTCACTTGATTTGGTCCCATATAGGAACAAAAGGAGTACTCATTCCATATTAAAACAATTGCATGTTTTCTATAAGGAGTCCTCTAAAATAAATACCATAGGGATAGTAGAAAATTATCCTTCCCTGAGTATAAACAACTCGTAAGACCTTGCAATTCTTCCCTGCGTGTTCTGGATTACTGTTTTTCCACAAAATGGAAAGGATGGAATAAACCATCCATTACTACTTGAGTTACCCTATCTAAGGATCAAACCAAAGACACAAGACCAACAACGTAAAAAAATGATACCCTATTAAAGGCTCGAGATCCTCAAAAACCATACCCTATCAGGCGGTACTTACCTATCTAGCCCATCCATATATATCCATATATATNATTCTTATGTACCATGATTTCAATCCAAAATGGCGGATTCGGCAAAAACTACTAGGATCGAGATAAGACATCGAAGAAGGTTCTGGGGCGCTTCCCGGTGTGTCAAATCCATGCCCAATTGAGGAAAACCGCCAATTAGAGTAGTGGCTTAGATTGTTCAAGCAGCTGAACAGTAAAAACACGAGGAAAGTGAACATAAGAACGGAGCTAAAAATTAGTTGACCGACCGCCATCGCTGACCGCTGACCACCACCACGGATTGGTGATGTTTTCGTATTTTGTGGTGTCGAAGTAATTTTTGCTATTGGTCGAGTCTCTCTTTCACAATAGGAATTAATTTCCTTTGTGATTCTTTGAAATTCTGTTAAATTTTGTGCGTTTATTTGAGTTACAAAGTAACATAGGCAGAGAAATTACATTGCCGTTGTCGTTCTATAAAAAAATCTTGAAAGTAGTTTGCATCCTTAGAAATCAACTTCTCTATTTAAACTTTCGGGAGCAGTGACTGTAATTTTTTCTACCATGCAGGTTTGGGCGTATCAACTTCTAGTTATTTTTGCGGAAGTTTTTCTTCGGAACGTATTTGTGAAGAGAGAAAAAATCTGCAAAAGATAATTATTATCGTCCCACG